CAGCGAATGATTTAATCAACCCAATTCTTCTGGAAAAACAGGTTCTTGTGTTCATTATGCTTATGAATAATACATTCCTTAACCCTTTTATTTTAACATAGATGTATTTTCTTTCTTTCTTTTTTTTAAAAAATAAACCTCAGTATGAAGCAGTCTGAAAGAAGGTAAAACACTTCTCCAAGTAAAGACACAATTTGCATCAGTTTCATGTTGAACTTTCTTTGAAAAGAACAAAGAGGAAGGAAAGGGATGCGTATATGCCATATCTCAGAAAGGTTTTTTAAGATTATTAGTTTTTCCACTATCTAATCTTGATCTGTTGCTTTAGTTACCAGTCGGTTAGAATCTTAAGTAAAAACTCTACAGAGGCATTTATTTATTTATTTTTTAAAGACAAATATAATGCCCACAAATACCATCCAAATACATTTTTTGAAGGAGGAAGGGAATCAAAAAAGGAAAGTGTTGTAATTTTAATCAGAGCTGGTATCGGAAGCTACCATTTGGGGTAGAGTTTCTCTTTGAGGAGTATTAATTTGTTGGCAGACACACATTTGTGAGAGCGTTCTTGTTTTTTTGTTTTTTTTTTTACTATTCAGAGAGAGACAGGAAGTGACACAAACTGGGATTAAAGGGAATTTATTCTACCTAAACACTGAACACAGTGTTCTTTAATTAGCTTTTGTATTTTAAAACCCTTTCTTTAAGAGTCAATCTAATTACTCTGTTACTATTGATGTTTTAATATGATGAAATGATTCAGTAATATATATACATATATACATTATATATATGCATATATATAAATATATACATATATACATAAAACCATATTGGAGTTTATTTTATCCACAGAAAGGTAGGCTCTTTCCATTCTGTGTTTACTTCCACCAGAAACAAGAAAGAGGAGGGGGGTCTGAAGTAATCGCCCAGTTCATCTTCTTTCTTTGGGAAGAACAATGAATAGTTGGAAGGGCTCTACATTAGGAAAAACCTAATTAAGTGTGTGAACTTCCATTAACAATGTGGTACTGGAGGTGGTTTCAGTGTGGCTTAGAGAAAGAGAGATAAGCAAACCACTGTGTAGAAAGAAAAGTACAGACAACAAATATTTTGATGCTACAGACAGAGAAAGGCGGAGAGTGAAGAAAAAGTTGCTGTGACAGGAATGCATGCACAGTAAATGACACCCCCTAGCTCCCCAATATAAATCCTGGCAATGTACACTTGTAAACCTTAGATCAGGCAAATCATGGAAACTCATTACATTAAGGAAAGTTTTTGTTTCTCTTTCCACATTATTACAACACAGTGTGCATTCCAATTACAAAAGCTATTTGTCTCAAATTCCCCACAGCTCATACCAACTGAGGAGAATTTCAAGGCCCCAAATTCTATCCTTAAAGGAGTACTTTACATTAAAAAAAACAACAACAAAAAAAACCAGTACATAGTGTTGCTTGTCCTCCAGTGAAGTCTGCCGATCAAATCTCCTGTAGTTTGTTTTCCCTCCAGCAGGAGAGCTGTCTCCCAAATGAGGTCGAGGGAAAAAAATCGGGATCACTTGGGAAGACTTTATCTGATTCCTTGGCCCTGCCTTAAAGCACGCATGAGGAGCCCACTGAAGCTGGACTCAGCAAATCAGCATTGTTCTTTAAATTCCCCTAGAGACTCTAACAAGCAGGTAGATTTAAAAATCACCCATCTAGATTTTTCTAGGCCAAACCACTTGCAAGTACGTAGACTATTCAGTTTCCTGTGGAATCAACTGCAAAAAGGTAGATTATGGACTTTTTTTTTTGTTTTTTGAAGAATTTAGGAAAATAAAAATCTCTAGACTTTAGGATTTTCTTCACATGATCATAAATAAAGGATCAGTTTTAAGTATGAAAAGACGCTGCTATAAATACTCTTGTTTATATGGGTGACATCAAGCTTAACCATCTACACATCCTTTTGTCCCCCATGGGTTTCCTGTTTAGCTTTTTATTAGTAACAGTATATTCCATAACTCAAAAAAAAAAATCAAACAAAAGTTTTAAATGTTAAGGAAAACATTACACAGTAGCAATACTACTAAAATCATACATTATGAAAGCAACACAGCTGATATACTATTCAGAATTTTCACACATCAGAAGATAAGCCATTGTGCAGTCCATAAAATTAGGGGTTGTAACAGTAAAGATAAGAAGTGTTTAAAAGGGGGAGGGGCCTGTGGCTTTAGAAGGCAAACTACTAGTTTAATAATTTTCTCTTGACAAGAGACAGTCATGTCCAAAATATTACCATTTGACATCGACTAAGCGCTGCCAGGAAACTGTTGATTATTAAATTCAAATGGCAAGAAAATACGAACGTATCCTAAAGCATAGCATAGCTCATCACAACTCAGAGTCACATGGAGGGCAAAAGCAGTTACAGGTATTTTTTCAGTCTCAATATGCCAATTAAAATACATAGTCTAGATTTGTTCTAATAGTTAAGCTCCAGGTTAAGTGTGTGAGCACACACACACAGAGACCACAAAACAGGAAGTTGTCACATTAAGCGTAAAATAGAACTGTGGTAATCAACATAGTGCTAGAATGAAAGAAAAAGATGCTTTCATATGTTAAAAGTGAAGCTCATCTTTACCTAAAGAGGAAATAAGTAGCTTAAATTAGAGGTCAACAACTTTGAACTTGAACAATGTTAAAAGTGTAAGTCAGAGAATGACAAAAGAAAGAGAAAACAAGGAAAGGGCACAAATAGTCACTAGGGGAAGAAAGGGTTAAAGTGGGTAAAATCCTACTGAAATAGGAAGCCCCTTTTATATGATAGGCGCTGCACTACAACCCTTTATATCTTACATCTTACAAGGATCCTGTAGTTCTTCCATTTCAGAGATGGTGAGACCCTGAAGCTTAAGCCAAAACAAAACTGTGGCTGTTGAGTTGAGTCCTACCTTATAAGACATGCAACCTTATAAGACAGGGTAGAATTGCTCCACAGGATTTCCGAGGGGGTTTAGTAGCCAATTGATTTAACCACTGTGCAACCAGGATACCTCAACTAAGGTTTAAAGTTTAAATGACTTGTGTAATGCGACACAGCTAAGTGAGCAGTAGTATCGGGAGTCAATCACGAATCAGAATAACTCCTCTGAAGCCCAGGCGCTCCTTTAACCTTAATAGTGATAGAGAAGAAGGAAGGGACAATAAAAACATGGAATTACTGTCTAAAGGACATTACTGTCAAAGGTTCCCCAGCTGTGACGCTGCCCTCTTCGCCACATTAAAAAACTCATCTCTTCTCTTTACTTTGCTTCCCACGTAACATAACACATGAAATTTTACCAGGATACTGATGGATGTCTCATTATCTACTTCTAACAAATATTTGAAATTTTTCATTAATAAATAAAAACTGCATTGGAAACAGCAAAGTAGAGTTCAAATCCATCAGTTGCTCCTGGGAAACCCTCTATATAGGGTCGCTATGAGTCTGAACTGACTCCAGGGCACTTAACAACAACAATTAAGTCTTGTTGTTGTTGATAAATACCATCGAGTAGGTTCCGACTTATAGTGACTCTGTAAAACAGGGTCTGGCCCTGCCAAGGCAACTGCAGTTCCAACCATCACATTAGAGGTGACTTAGAAGAATATCATGTTTGGTAAGGTGAACGGTCAAAGAAAAAGAGGAAGAACCCCAACAAGATGGATTGGCCAAGTGGCAGCATCGATGGACTCAAGCGTGGCAACAATAGTGAGGTTGGCCCAGGATCGGGCAGTGTTTCGTTCT